GGCTAAGTGACTAAATACTAGTTGTGAGTTTAGCAATGTGAATGCTTTTGTTTTGGCACTGTACGTAGTTTCAGTATTGGAGTATCACAGGCCAACTTATGACTAGTTAAGATTCATTATTTTGAGATTGAGATTGATATTTCTGTTTATGGTCAAATGGGTGAGTGAGTGTAAGTGTGAACCACCAGGTGGTATTCGTATTATTAGTTGACAGGGTGTATCAGGGAGATAAGATGTTTTTTGATGGTAGTTTTGAAGGTGATGAATGTGTCTGCAGTTTTGGAATTTTCAGGTAGGGTGTTCCAGATTTTAGGGCCTTTGACATACATTGAATTTTTGTAAAGGTTTAGTCGGACATGGGGAATGTCATAGAGATGTTTGTGTCAGTTGTTATGCCTGTGGGTTCTGTCACAACTATCAAGAAAGCATTTTAGGTCAAGGTTAATATTGGAATTTAAGGTCCTGTAGATGTAGATTGCACAATAGTAAGTGTGGATGTACTGAACAGGGAGTAAGTTTAGATCTATGAAGAGTGGGGGGGGGTGTTGCCAGGGATGGGATTTGGTGATTATTCTTACTGCGGCTTTTTGTTGGGTTATTATTGGCTTTAGGTGTGTTGCTGCAGTTGAACCCCAAGCACAGATAGCATAGGTGAGGTATGGATATATAAGTGAATGGTATAGTGTGAGAAGGGCAGTTTGCTGCACGTAGTATCGTATCTTGGAGAGGAATCTTAATCTTAAAATAATGAATCCTAACTAGTCATAAGTTGGCCTGTGATACTCCAATACTGAAACTATGTATTGTGCAAAAACAAAAGCATTCACATTGATAACTCACAAACTAGTATTTAGTTTTAAAAATAGGTTAGATAAATACATGAGTGGGTGTGAGTTGGACCTGACTAGCTTGTGCTGCTGGGTCTGGTGCAGTGTTCCATCCTTGAGTGGAGATGATCAGACTGGGTGGGTCATTGGGCTAATCCAGAGAGGGGTGGGGGGTCATTGGTCTAATCCGGGGGGGGGGGGACATGGACCTGCTCCGCATGGGTCAGTAGGCCTGTTGCAGTGTTCCTTCTTTCTTATGTTCTTATGTTCTTATAATACCAACTTACCTCATAATTTGTAATATTTTAAAGTTAAGAATTAATCTAAGTCTGCCCGAAATGCCTAGCCATGCTAGGTGTTCTAGTGGCCCCCTCTGTAATTAGTATTTTAAAACATGTAAACCACACAATATCCAAATTCTGTAAACTCAGTATTGTAATCCTTATAGAGAATAAACTTGATTTGATTTGATTTGATTTACTACAAACACTTTACATTAATAATAATAAGTTTATTTCTTTGTAAAGGTTACAATGTGTAATTACAATTTTGATTTGCTAAGTACAAAGATAGCCACTATCATGCCGAGGCATTTCGGGCAAACTAATCCTAATACAGTGGACCCCCGGTTAACGATATTTTTTCACTCCAGAAGTATGTTCAGGTGCCAGTACTGACCGAATTTGTTCCCATAAGGAATATTGTGAAGTAGATTAGTCCATTTCAGACCCCCAAACATACACGTACAAACACACTTACATAATTGGTCGCATTCGGAGGTAATCGTTATGCGGGGGTCCACTGTACATAGTAACTAATTAAAACTAGTAACTAATTAAAACTAGATAAGATAATAGTACATAGTAATTACATATACTTAAAACTAAACATAGAATAGTGGTTAGCTGTTTTACAATCTTATTTGGACTTAATAAATCTTATGTATACTTAGTACAAAATCTAATTTACAAGGAATGGTGCAGGTGGTGTACATGTTGTCTCCACGTTGGTACAGTAGAATAAATAGAGAGCAACACTCCCATGTAACACCATTTTTAGATGAAATGACACTCTGAGTGAAGGCATCCAAAAGGAATAATTATCTACAGTTACCCCAGTAATATTATTGTGTGCACACTCTTTGGTGCTGAACTAGTGTGATTATATTGCGTAATATTCTTATCATTATTAATATAGCATCAAGACAAGTAAGACATTCTTAGTGATTTTAATGTGTACCTGCATGCCAGCACAGTGTGTAAGTTGATTTAGGTACAGGCACACATAAGTATAATTGTCAGAGTACTATATATAAAGCACAAAATAACTTTAAAACACTTGAAATTTTGGAAAGTTTCCAGACATAATGGAGAGATGCGGTGCTCCCAGAGCATGTAAACAAACCGGGTGGGGCGCAATGATTGTATTAGAAAAACAGGGGAGGGAGAGCCGTATAGCGAGTTTTGGTCATAATTGAAATGTCCATACAGTATTAGCAGAATGCCGTAAAGCAGGGCCCTACTGTGTGTGCTTTGAAAACAATATTATGTACTGCATTTAGGCTTTGAAAACAATACTAAGTATTGCATATAGACTTTGTAAAAATCTAGTCATGAAACTATATAACACATTCTTGTGTAAATAAAGTTCAGGATGTGAATATTTAGGATGAGTAGTGAATTAAGGCTAACTGGTTGGGAGAAGTAACATTTTTGATGTTATTAACTAACCTGGACAAGAATGTTGTGGTCTGGATCATGGTGGAGTGGACTAACTGTGCCCCGTGGTCCCAGCCAGGCATGCAGGCGGGGAGGCTCCTCACCCAAATGGCAGTAGTCAGGCACCAAGATGTCTTCTTGCAGTTGAGGCACCTGATCTAACAGTTGATGCTGGGCCAGATAGCCTATAGGAGTGTTGCTGGTTGGGCTTGTCACATATGTTGTAAGGTAGTCATCAAGTGTCATTAGTGCTTGGGACCATGTCAAATCAGTGTAACGAGCACCCACCTCCACAGGAACAGTGCGAGCTCCAGCAATCTGACGAAGGTAAGATATATTCCACAGCTTAAGAGCAGGCCAATGATCCACTACACCTTGCAACTTGACGGGCACTTTAGAGGTCATATAATGCAGCAAGAAACGATCCAAAGGTGGGCAGTGGACTGAGGGCAATGGGCATGACACAGTGGCAATGTCATGCTGCGTTATGGGAGCCTTTTCATTTTTCTCATCATCCTCAGCAGTTGCTACCATTGGTAGCCGAGCATAGGTATTTAAGGTGGAAGCAGTAGAGTGGAGAGGGTTATCATCAATAGGAGCACCCATAATAAGTCCCCGGTCACATGCCCGCACCACTCTAGTTGATGCTGTAAGGTGATCACTTGTGTGTACAGCTGACTGGAGATCCAAGGTAGCTTGAAGTTGCTGTAGCAAGAAACCCACCAGAGCTACACTGCCCCATGTAAACACCCATCTCCATGACAGAGCAACATCTTGCCAGTGACCTTCAAGAGAAAATTTGGTTATGTAGTACAATACAAATGTTATGTAAAACAGTACAAGTATAGCATACATGCATACATTATATGCACTTAAGCTAATACAGTACTACTTTTATGTAGAAAACTTAAAACAGTGAGAAATTCAATTTGACTACTGCAACAATTTTTATAAATCATTTATACATTCTCAGGATTATACTGAAAGGCATTTAGTGGGCATTTTTTCTGAAATTATTGTAGCTACCCATTTTTATGTCATTATCTTGCAAAGTGCTTTTTGAAAAGCTTACTGAACAGTATGATTTGCATTTACAAAAACCTGTATATTATATTCATTGAAAGTACTAAGTCCATGCTGGTGATTCAGCACTGCTGGGCAAGGCTGAAAGAGACAGCATAGATACAGAAATAGAAGTGCTGAAGGCGAGTACAAAGCCACAGGGAGGGAGCCACAGTATAGTGAATTAGCTTCAGTTAAATAATAAAAAAATAGAAAAATAGAATATGCATTCAAAGCAGGGCTGTCAGAGGAGAGGGCTTGCCAGGGCATTGAAGGTAAGAGAAAAATGTACTTGACATCTTTGATGATTGTTTCTTAATACTTAATACTTTGCTAATACAATTTTTCAACAGATTAGTCTCTTAACTAAAAAACTGATGGTATCTACCTGTATTGAGTTTCTGCCAGGTGTAATCAAGAAGAGCACTAGCAAGGACATCATAATTGGTGGGCAGGGAGCTGCTGGATGATGGCAGAGTTGAGGTTGCAGAAGACGAAGCTGCAACATGCAAGAGCGTCGAAAGTGTCTGAGTCACCCAAGTGCCCCCAACTTCTTCCTTCACACCATAAGGCAAAACCACTTTCTCCATCACCTCCACTGGACAGTCAGTGTCCAATATACATTTTGCAATGTACTCATTTCCGTAGGGTTTGCTCTTGTCGGCTTTGTCTGTATCAGTTGCCACTTGTATCTTTTGTTTTTTATCTTCACTAGTATACAGTACTTCATTTGTGCCAGAGCCATGTGTGTGTCCTAGTTCTTGCAGGATCCTTTCCCTAACTATGTGGAGGGCATCCCTAACCACATGTCTCAGCCCACCAACACTATCCTTATCCATAAGGAGGTGGCAAATTTCTCTTGAGAGAGAACTTTTGATTCTTAGCTAGTGCTGGTTACCAATAAAATAGTGGTAAACTGGAAGCAAAATTATCAGCATGCTATAAAAATGAGCTTTTGGAAGTTGTTTTTATAAGGTCTTGCATTACTCTCAGGGTTCCAATAAAATGATATCTTGGCAAGTATACCTTTTGGGCACACCTCATGATACATCTTAATGCTAATATGAGCAAGATAGTACAAAGTATACTCCTCACCAGTATGAGCCAAAGTGAGAGGTATGCTCCTCACAGCAGCACAAGCCAGACAGTGCCAACAACACTACTCACATCAGTATGAGCCAGAGTGCCAAAGGTACTTGTATGATAGCCATTACAAGAATGCCAAGGATACACCCTCACATCAGTTAATGCCAATGATATTTCTCACACCAATATGAGGCAGACAGTGCCAAGGACACTCATACTAATATGAGTATATTTCTTAATGCTGTCTGCATAGTGGAATGAACATCTGTTTCTTGCCTCGTGTAGCTCAGTCGGCTAGTCTTCCACCATTAATCCACATGCCAGCTTCACCTGCACATGGACAATTCATTCATTAGACATTCATAAACACAACTATTCAGATTTTCAGAGTAGTCATGGAGGAGTATGGTACTATCTGAATGTGTTCTAGCCATGTTATAGTCAGGCACAGAAGTTTAACACCAAAACACAAGCAATACATACAGATAAACCAAATTTGAGCCTTAAAAAAGCTTAACAGAACTAAGGACACTGATGCAGAAAGACAGTAACTAATTCATAAAGTATCACATGGGATTAAAAAAATGCAACTTTAGAAAATCTTGATCAAACTGCTGAGTTTTTATTCTATGAGTCAGGTTAGGGCAGCTAGTGAGAGGTTGTAACCCTTTCACTGTCCATATCCCCCAATTTGAAAGCCCCTACTGCGTTGTCATTAAAAAAAAAAAAATCTAAAATAGCAGAAAATCTCTTTCTAAAGGAAATGGCACCAAAAATGTAAAATCGATGTAATACTTACGGAATTACTCAGGCACGAAGTTAGAGGTAAAGAGCAATTTATGCAATAACTTCACCCCATTTGAGGCCTATTTTAGAATAACTCCAATGTTAAATGATAATGACTGGCACAGAGAGCTAGCCGACAACCATGATATTAATGTGTCAAAATTCTTCTTCTAAAAACCTCAAACATCTGTAAGAGGCATTGTCCAATTAAAACTAAGCAGATCACAGATCAGACTAAACAGCCCCGGGCTTACAAGCGTATCCTCAAATCCACTGATAAAAAACACCAATATGAAAAACAGTTCAGACTGAGTTTAATAAGAAAAGAACAGACAAAACAATACATGTCAATACTCACTAATCTAGTATAAGTCTAAACAACTGTATTATACAAGCAGACTTAATGGAATAAAAAGGGATATGAAAAATGCCAACTTAACATACTGATCAATGGTACCCCTATTACAAGAGACACTGAGGACAAATTTTTAAGTCTTCACCTTGACTGCAACCTTAACCCGTTCAGAGTTGGTGCCATACTAGTACGGCTTGCATGCCAGGGTTGGTGCCATACTAGTACGCATAAATTCTAGTGCCTTCAAATCTAGTGAGAGAAAGCTGGTAGGCCTACATATGAAAGAATGGGTCTATGCGGGCAGTGTGCGCAGTATAAAAAAATCCTGCAGCACACAGTGCATAATGAGAAAAAAAAAACTCCGACTGTGCTTTTGGTTTAAAACAGCGACTTTGCAGTATATTTTCGTATTTTATTTATGGTGCTATTCTAGTTTTCCTGGTCTCATTTTATAGAATTGAAGACATATTATGGAAATTGAGATGATTTTGATTGGTTTCACAAAGAAAAGTACCTTGAAATTGAGCTCAAAGTAGCAGAAATGTACGATTTTTACCAAAGTTCAAAGGTAAACAAATCATGCCACGCGTCCAATACACGTCAACTGGCGAGTCTAATATTCTTTCACAAGTGCGCTGATATTATTTATACCATTTGTACACCATTTCTACACGAATGCAGTAGTCTGCATAACATAAATCTTCTATTTTTTGTGAGAATAAAAATCCAAAGTGGAAAGCAAAAGAAATGTAACAGAGGCCTGGAGACATGAGTAATGAACAGAGGAAATGTTATTTTGTACCAGGAATGTCTGTCATGTTTATTCTGGACCCTATCTGGAAATTGGTATCTTTTGAAATTTGTGTGAAATTGGCAAAATTGCCAATTTCTGACCACGTTATTGGTTAGTTGAAATTGGTAAATGGGTACTCATTCAATAGACAAAATGGAGTTCTAGCAAAATAGGTATGAGTTTTGTTGACTGGTACATTGGAATTGGCCAATAATAGGGCTCAAAGTGGGCAATATCGCTGATGCGTAAACATCGTCGAGACCGCTAACTTCGTGAGAGCATAATTCCGTAAGCTTTCCATGAAATTTCATACTTTTGGTGCCATTATGATCGGGAAAAGATTCTCTATCATTTCATAAGACAAAAATTTTTTTTTTTCTTTTTTTCAAAAAATTTCTGACCCTGAGAACAAGTTTAAGAGAGGGCCTGCCGACCCTGAAAGGGTTAAATTTCAGACCCACATTCAACATATAGCCAAGATCTCCAAAACAGTGGACATCCTCTCCAAGATACAGTACTATGTACCCCAAATGGCACTATTTACACTAACTCTCTCTAATCTACCCCCACCTCACCAATGGTATTTGTGCCTGGAGATCTACTATGACTAATCACCTGCAACCATTAACCCTTTCAGGGTCCGTCCCGTAGATCTACGGCTTTACGTTCAGGGTCCAAACCGTAGATCTACGCCATGAGCTCAGCTCACTCTGATAAACTGTGAGTGGTACATTTGGGCCTAGATATGAGAGAATACATCTATGTGGTATGTGTGCAGCACATAAAACAGATCCTGCAGCACACTGTGTATAATGAGAGAAAAAAACTTAAATCATGATTTTTCGATTAAAACAGCAACTTTGCAGTGTTTTTTCGTATGTTTTTTATAGTTGTATTTGCGATTTCTTGGTCTCATTTGATAGAATGGAAGACATATTACAGAAATAGAGATTTATTTTGATTGGTGTTAGCACTGGAAATGGCTTGAAACTGAGCTCAAAGTAGCGGAAATGTTAAATTTTTGCCGATATTCAAGAGTAAACAAACGACCTCACACGTCTAATACACGTCAGCTGGTGGGTCTAATATACATTCACAAATATGGTGATGATATTTATACAATTATTACAGTACTGCATAACAGTAAATCTTTTTATTTTTTGGTGTGAATAAAAATTCATTATGTGAATAAAAAATCAAAATGGAATTTATTTGTAAAGCCTCAAAACATAACTAATGAACAGAGGAAACGTTAGTTTAGTGCCAGGAATATCTACATTGTTTATTCTGGACCCTATTTTGAAATTGGAATATTTTGAACTTTGTGTTAAATTGGCCAAATTAACAATTTCCAATCACTTTATTTTGTAGTTGAAACAGTTGACTTGGCGATTTCTTGTGCTCAATCGATAGAATAGAAGTAATACTAGTGAAATAGCTAAGAATTTGGTTGATTGGAATAATGTAATTGGCCTAAAATGGGAGTCAAAGTCGGCAAAATCGCCGATTCGTAAATGTCGCTGACACATCAAAATTCGCGAGAGCATAATTTCGTCAATTTTCCACCAAATTTCGTACTTTTTGTTTTATTACTTTCACAAAAAGATTCTCTACGATTTCATAAGAAAAAATAACAAATTTTTTTTTTGAAAATTCTTGGACACTGGTGCGTGACTCCAGATTTGGGCCTTGGACCCTGAAAGGGTTAATAACCCAACAAAAAGCTGCTGTGTGAATGATTGCCAATTCCTGTGCCAGACAACACACCCCTCCACTCTTCAAGAGTTTGATCTTATTTAATATATAATTTTTTTTTTTCAACAAACCGGCCGCATCCCAAAAAAGGCACAGTGATATATAAAGAAAATCATAAGGTCCTTTAATAATAATATTTTATTTCAACATGATACATGTTTGTACAAAGGAATATAATAGTTGGGTGTACATGCCAAAAGCCCCTCGATATGCAAAGCATTTCGGGCAAACTTAAAACTAACTTAAGATTAATAAGGCAGTAACAGTACATATGATCATTAAGTGAGTTACAATGAATACAAGAGAAGTGAATATTCTGTTAGGTTGTACTATATGCCTTTAATAAGTTTTGTAGAGAAGAATTACAATTTTGTTTATTAACCTTCGGTAGACACAATGGAGTGATTAACATTTGAGATGAATTCAGATATTGAGTAAGTACACCTACCATCCGACTTACGACCGAGTTCGGTTCCGAGAAACCAGTCGTAAGTCGAAATGGTCGTAAGTCGAACTTTACTATTGAATATCAACAAAACATTTTTGTAATGACTATTTTATTGTTTTATTTTGGTATTTCATGTTTTACTTTACTTTTTATGTTGTTAGTACTGTATTTTATACTGTAAGGTTTAGGATAAACACTGTGTACAACACAAATAGTTGTTTATTTCCCAGAAATTTGGCATAAAAAACACGGTCGTAAGTCGAGTGGTCGTAAGTCGAGCAGGTCGTAAGTCGGATGGTAGGTGTATATATTGATTATAAAGTTTTACCTATGTTCATGATATTGAGGAAATGCATGTATAGGTTTTACATATGTATTTAAGATGGGCTGGGATAGGTTGAGGAGATAAGGTGTTTTTTAACTGTAGTTTTAAAAATACTAGCTGAGCCTGTGGTTCTGGAAATTTCTGGCATAGAGTTCCATATTTTGGGCCCTTTTATGTATACTGAGTTTTTGAAATAATTTAGCCTGACACAGGGTATGTGTCAGATGAAATGTTCAAAACTCAAAGCAGTATTTCCCATGAGAAATAATGTTAATCCAATTAATTCGTTCCTGCTGTCAGGAGGCATGACACAATAGTACTTCAATATGACACTATTATCAACTCTACGGATTATCTATCATCTAATATGACATAATAAACAATATAAATAACATGAAAACCTGATATACACTCTAGAATGAATAAAATAGGTATGTCATTACGTATGTCGTGGCGGGGGAGGACGAAGTCGCAGGCATTCTTGCTCTAGCTATGAAAATGTCTTCCCTTCCCTTCAGACGTGTTAGTATAGGAGAAAACGGACTTTGTAATGCTAACTGCATTAGATCACTTCTTTCATAAGAAAACTATAATGTAGAAATGAAATGGTGTACGTACACCATTTACATACCTTCCAGAAGATAGGCTTTAAATTCCACAACTTGCACCTGTGCTGGCATGCAGGAACACATTAAAATCATTAAGAGTGTTATTAGTCATGAAGATGCCATATTAATAATAATAACACAATAATAATCACTCTGAGGCACATTAAATGTCGTATAAAACGTTAATATGGACATTTTGCTTAATCCATCTATGATATTTTTTCAAAATTATATAATAAACAGGGAAGTACTACCGTCCTGCCAGATGACTGTGAAACAAAAACCTGTAACTGTTTTGCATGATGGTAGGATTGCTGGTTTCTTTTTCTGCCTCATAAACACGCTAAGATAACAGGGATATCTTGCTACTCCTACTTACACTTTGGTCACACTTCACAGACACGCACATGCATATATATATATACATACATCTAGGTTTTTCTCCTTTTTCTAAATAGCTCTTGTTCTTTTTTATTTCTTCTATTGTCCATGGGGAAGTGGAAAAGAATCTTTCCTCCGTAAGCCATGCGTGTCGTATGAGGCGACTAAAATGCCGGGAGCAATGGGCTAGTAACCCCTTCTCCTGTATACAATTACTAAAAATGAGAAGAAGAAAAACTTTTATAAAACTGGGTTGCTTAAATGTGCGTGGATGTAGTGCGGATGACAAGAAACAGATGATTGCTGATGTTATGAATGAAAAGAAGTTGGATGTCCTGGCCCTAAGCGAAACAAAGCTGAAGGGGGTAGGAGAGTTTCAGTGGGGGGAAATAAATGGGATTAAATCTGGAGTATCTGAGAGAGTTAGAGCAAAGGAAGGGGTAGCAGTAATGTTAAATGATCAGTTATGGAAGGAGAAAAGAGAATATGAATGTGTAAATTCAAGAATTATGTGGATTAAAGTAAAGGTTGGATGCGAGAAAGTGGGTCATAATAAGCGTGTATGCACCTGGAGAAGAGAGGAATGCAGAGGAGAGAGAGAGATTTTGGGAGATGTTAAGTGAATGTATAGGAGCCTTTGAACCAAGTGAGAGAGTAATTGTGGTAGGGGACTTGAATGCTAAAGTAGGAGAAACTTTTAGAGAGGGTGTGGTAGGTAAGTTTGGGGTGCCAGGTGTAAATGATAATGGGAGCCCTTTGATTGAACTTTGTATAGAAAGGGGTTTAGTTATAGGTAATACATATTTAAGAAAAAGAGGATAAATAAGTAATACACGATATGATGTAGGGCGAAATGACAGTAGTTTGTTGGATTATGTATTGGTAGATAAAAGACTGTTGAGTAGACTTCAGGATGTACATGTTTATAGAGGGGCCACAGATATATCAGATCACTTTCTAGTTGTAGCTACACTGAGAGTAAAAGGTAGATGGGATACAAGGAGAATAGAAGCATCAGGGAAGAGAGAGGTGAAGGTTTATAAACTAAAAGAGGAGGCAGTTAGGGTAAGATTATAAACAGCTATTGGAGGATAGATGGGCTAATGAGAGCATAGGCAATGGGGTCGAAGAGGTATGGGGTAGGTTTAAAAATGTAGTGTTAGAGTGTTCAGCAGAAGTTTGTGGTTACAGGAAAGTGGGTGCAGGAGGGAAGAGGAGCGATTGGTGGAATGATGATGTAAAGAGAGTAGTAAGGGAGAAAAAGTTAGCATATGAGAAGTTTTTACAAAGTAGAAGTGATGCAAGGAGGGAAGAGTATATGGAGAAAAAGAGAGAAGTTAAGAGAGTGGTGAAGCAATGTAAAAAAGAGAGCAAATGAGAGAGTGGGTGAGATGTTATCAACAAATTTTGTTGAAAATAAGAAAAAGTTTTGGAGTGAGATTAACAAGTTAAGAAAGCCTAGAGAACAAATGGATTTGTCAGTTAAAAATAGGAGAGGAGAGTTATTAAATGGAGAGTTAGAGGTATTGGGAAGATGGAAGGAATATTTTGAGGAATTGTTAAATGTTGATGAAGATAGGGAAGCTGTGATTTCGTGTATAGGGCAAGGAGGAATAACATCTTGTAGGAGTGAGGAAGAGCCAGTTGTGAGTGTGGGGGAAGTTCGTGAGGCAGTAGGTAAAATGAAAGGGGTAAGGCAGCCGGGATTGATGGGATAAAGATAGAAATGTTAAAAGCAGGTGGGGATATAGTTTTGGAGTGGTTGGTGCAATTATTTAATAAATGTATGGAAGAGGGTAAGGTACCTAGGGATTGGCAGAGAGCATGCATAGTTCCTTTGTATAAAGGCAAAGGGGATAAAAGAGAGTGCAAAAATTATAGGGGGATAAGTCTGTTGAGTGTACCTGGTAAAGTGTATGGTAGAGTTATAATTGAAAGAATTAAGAGTAAGACGGAGAATAGGATAGCAGATGAACAGGAGGCTTTAGGAAAGGTAGGGGGTGTGTGGACCAGGTGTTTACAGTGAAAACATATAAGTGAACAGTATTTAGATAAGGCTTAAAGAGGTCTTTGTGGCATTTATGGATTTGGAAAGGCGTATGACAGGGTGGATAGGGGGGCAATGTGGCAGATGTTGCAAGTGTATGGTGTAGGGAGGTAGGTTACTGAAAGCAGTGAAGAGTTTTTACGAGGATAGTGAGGCTCAAGTTAGAGTATGTAGGAAAGAGGGAAATTTTTTCCCAGTAAAAGTAGGCCTTAGACAAGGATGTGTGATGTCACCGTGGTTGTTTAATATATTTATAGATGGGGTTGTAAGAGAAGTAAATGCGAGGGTCTTGGCAAGAGGCGTGGAGTTGAAAGATAAAGAATCACACACAAAGTGGGAGTTGTCACAGCTGCTCTTTGCTGATGACACTGTGCTCTTGGGAGATTCTGAAGAGAAGTTGCAGAGATTGGTGGATGAATTTGGTAGGGTGTGCAAAAGAAGAAAATTAAAGGTGAATACAGGAAAGAGTAAGGTTATGAGGATAACAAAAAGATTAGGTGATGAAAGATTGAATATCAGATTGGAGGGAGAGAGTATGGAGGAGGTGAACGTATTCAGATATTTGGGAGTGGACGTGTCAGCGGATGGGTCTATGAAAGATGAGGTGAATCATAGAATTGATGAGGGAAAAAGAGTGAGTGGTGCACTTAGGAGTCTGTGGAGACAGAGAACTTTGTCCTTGGAGGCAAAGAGGGGAATGTATGAGAGTATAGTTTTACCAACGCTCTTATATGGGTGTGAAGCGTGGGTGATGAATGTTGCAGCGAGGAGAAGGCTGGAGGCAGTGGAGATGTCATGTCTGAGGGCAATGTGTGGTGTGAATATAATGCAGAGAATTCGTAGTTTGGAAGTTAGGAGGAGGTGCGGGATTACCAAAACTGTTGTCCAGAGGGCTGAGGAAGGGTTGTTGAGGTGGTTCGGACATGTAGAGAGAATGGAGCGAAATAGAATGACTTCAAGAGTGTATCAGTCTGTAGTGGAAGGAAGGCGGGGTAGGGGTCGGCCTAGGAAGGGTTGGAGGGAGGGGTAAAGGAGGTTTTGTGTGCGAGGGGCTTGGACTTCCAGCAGGCATGCGTGAGCGTGTTTGATAGGAGTGAATGGAGACAAATGGTTTTTAATACTTGACGTGCTGTTGGAGTGTGAGCAAAGTAACATTTATGAAGGGATTCAGGGAAACCGGCAGGCCGGACTTGAGTCCTGGAGATGGGAAGTACAGTGCCTGCACTCTGAAGGAGGGGTGTTAATGTTGCAGTTTAAAAACTGTAGTGTAAAGCACCCTTCTGGCAAGACAGTGATGGAGTGAATGATGGTGAAAGTTTTTCTTTTTCGGGCCACCCTGCCTTGGTGGGAATCGGCTGGTGTGATAATAATAAAAAAAAAAAAAATAATAATAATAAACACACTACATAACATATAAACATATAAATTAACATAAATATGAGATGTTTTTCCAGTCGGCTTGACAAAGTGAACAAAAACCATTCGTGTCCAGGCTGGTATCAACAACAACTGGTTTGTTTACAAAACTCGCAAGCATGAGGGTTACACACCTACCACACTTTGATACCTACCTACCTAACTATTCACCCTGCACCCTATATTAAGACCATTAAGACTACAAATATTTTAAGGTAAGTAATGAGTGTACTGTACTATATGCATTTTATCACTCTAGGGCACCTTAAATGCCTAGTATATAATGTAATGTTCACTCGAGAAACAAAGCCAGCCTGACTCACGATGCCTGCACAGGGAGGCGCGCAGGCACGGGGCAGGCAAACAGGTCTGGTACGTGGTTCAAAACACGGGGCATGTTCAATACTTGGGACAAAATTGGTGCAAAAAAAGTGGTCAAAACTCAGTGTTCGATAGTCAATGCATTCAAAACTCAGGGTTCCACTGTATATCTATGAGTTATATTGCAACTGTCAAGAAAATGCTTCAGGTCAGGATTTATATCAGAATTGATTGTTCTGCAAATGTAGGTTGCACAATAGTACGAGTGAATGTTTTGTATAGTGCGTAGTTTTAGGTCTTTGAAGACTTGGGGGGGGGGGGTTGTCCAGCAGTGGATTGTGTGATCATTCACACTGCAGCTTTTTGTTGGGTTATTATTGGTTTTAAGTGATTTGTCATTGTGGAGTCCCAGGCACAAATAGCATAGGTGAGGTAGGGGTAGATCACTGAAAAGTATAGTGTAGGTAGTGCTCTTTGTGATACATAGTAACATATCTTTGAGAGGATGCCAACTATTTAAGAGACTTTTTTTGTTGTGTGTTGGATATGAGTGTTGAATTTCAGGTTGCTGTCAAGATGTTGTGAAGGTTTAATCAGTCCTGTCAGACAATCAGAGAGTATTGTTGTTTATAATATACTGTATATTGTTTATAATACAGGTCCGCCATCACAAATCTGGCAATCAGTTATTCGGCACTAATTTTGGCTAGCATAATTTCAAATTTCCAGGGTTGCCACACCAACCTGCTGGTACTGTTTGGTGGTGCTACTTGCTGCATAAGTCATTCCAATTTCTTTTTCTCCATTTATTGTTTTAACCTGTTTACTTTTAGCCCTAGCCATGGTTCCAATGAATAAAAGAAATGCTTCTCATTATGTAAAGCACCTACACAGTACATTATCCATTAAAGATAAGGTGGCTTTGAAGCCACTGTCAGTTGTCATGAGCTCAGTCTCATGAAGCAGGAGAATATGCTTTATTATTACGCTAATATCAACACTACAGCTTATTTGCCTATCACAATTGATCTAATATGACATAAGAAACAATATAAATAACATAAAACATGTT